AACAGGTAACTCACTAAAATTCTATATTTTTCAAATCAATCCTTCTAATAGTTACCCTTAAAATCGAGTCAATCGTATAAAATCGAAACTAAAATAATAGCTTTGCATTATAGATACTGAGCGGAACGATGAATATATTTATTTATTTTACAATGATTTATGTGTGTTTCTTTTTTTGTACTTATACACGATAAGTAGTCGAAAAAATAATGATGCACAATAATATCATCAAATATAGGTACTTAGTAATATCATAGGCTGACTGACCGATCGCTCAGAATCGTATTTCGTATACAATGTTATTGTATCATTGAATTCAAATTTAACACCATCCATTACAATGACCCACTTGTAAGCTACTATAAATCAGAGCGATACCCACTTACCCTCTTTTTTTATTTGTTCGTCATCACCTCTTGGGCAGTAAAAATGCTTCAATTTTCTACTTCAGCACCTTTTCTGGTTGGAAAGTGAATTTCGTAAGTAATTTGGGAGGTCAACAGTAAAAAAATTGATGTAACTCAAAAACCAATAGCCGTAGATACTTTAAACTGTCACTAAATATTTATATGAAAATTGTCTATACATGATGAAATTTTCAAAATATTTTGACTCTTTTTGAGCTGTTTCACCCATAGTACATTTTTGATTTCTTTCAATTATTGTTGATAAATTAATTTTTCTATATAACATACTTGAAAATTGAATACAAGGATCCTCATACGTTTTTGTGAGCGTCTAAAGTTAGAATTTTTAGAATTTCGTAAAATCGTAAAAAATTTCAAATCATTTTGTACTAAGAAATTATTTACAAATTTTGTTTCCATATCTAACATTTTAAAATTTGATACAAGATTCCTCTTAATTTTTTTCTACCTTTAAAAAAATAAAAAATAAATTAACGGAAAGTAAATTCATATTTATTTATTTTTATGAGCGTTTGAAGTTCAATTCTCTACAACATTAGACATTCAACGGTAGATTAAAGATTTGCTTATTTTGTTATAATTTAAAAAGGAATAAGCGTAGATACTTGAAATTTTCTCCAAAATTTTATATTTTTATGTTTTCCAACTTTTAAATTAAATTTTATACACATAGCGATATTTTCAAAAGCATTTTTTTAGGAAATTATTAATTCGACCTACTGTATTATTACTAATAGTAAAATAAGTTACTTTTTTACCAATAATAAAATATCATAAAATATACTTTGTAATTATATACCGAAAACCCGTCTTCGCTTCGTAAAGTTTTTCGTATACAATGATTTTAATTCGTTGAATTCAAATTTAACACAACATTACTATGACCCCTATAGACACCTAATGTTTAGTAGAGTGGTTCCCACTTGCCTACCTTTTTTAATATGATATTTTTTCATTTTGGAATATAGTAGCATAAAATCTCTTGATACTCAAACTTTTATATTTTATATTATTTTAAATTTAAATTGTATTTTATAACTATATTTCATATTATATATAATGTGAACCTTCACGCCAAATATGTTTGATGACACTCTTTATTTTCTTGAAGAAATACATTTATAGTAACATTATTTACAAGACTAATAAGTAATCTCAATACTCTTAAGTCAAAGAAAACCATATTTAATTTTATAGTTAAAATTTAAAGAATAATTACTTTTCTTATACAATTATAAATTTTAGACAATTTTAAGATAAACTTAAATTCTCGACAATTAAAAAAAAAAATCCATGCTAATATTAGTTTTATAATATGAGAAAGAATAGAAAATAAGTTAAAATGAATAGTTAAAGTTTACTTTGTTTCAATAATTCATTATTAAAGTACCTTCTAGAGTTCAGAGCAATTGAAGAAATAAATCTTCCATGAAAAAGAAACCATTCGTTGTACAACATACGTATTATATATTATTATGTTCTGTGGAAGAAATAAGTCTTTACACAATACAAATGCGTCGTGCCAGTTTAAAAATACGGGGTGGCCATGTTAGTGTATTTAATAATAAATATAAAATATAAATAAAAAATTAATAATATATAATTAAATCCTAAGACTTTTTAATTATAAAACATTTACTCAATTTAAATTACCATTTATTTTATTGTGATGAATATTTTTAATCTATGAGTCAGTTGATAAATTATTATTTAAGTTTGACAGTGATTTAATAATTATTTAGAAAGCTAAATTATTCATAAAAATCGATTACATCTGACGAGGGTCATAGTTTCATAATTATAATTATTATTTATAATATATAACTCAAATGTAGATTAATCCTAATTTTTTTTTTTTTTGTTAAATAATACTATGAGTTAGATACCACCCAGTATTAGTGTATCGTATATTATGCATCTATAATACAATATTAAGTGGTTTCCTGTTTCCGGAGTATTTGAAACCATTTGGCATTTTTTAAAGACTTTTCCGGATTTAAAATGCTTTAGTTTCCTGTCCACATCCACGCCGATAAAATTGTATTTTTTTTTTTTTTTTTTTTTTTAATTCAGCGTCATTATAATAAGATGCGAATTTTTATGACTTAAGTCAGTATCCTGTCTTCTTAAGACTTAAATACACACGAAACATGAAAGTGTTTTATTCATTATCAAATTAACTGAATTCTTTCTTTCTTTTCAATCCTAGTATCTGTGCTGAATTTTCTGAAACCTGATTAAATTTAAAAAGGTATATTACATTTCTAAATCTTGAATATAAATTGTATTACCATTGTTTTTTCTAATAAACATCACGTATTAATAAATTACCTATATACTAATAACATAGTAGATACTAACTTAACAAGGTATTTAGTATTTTATTATTTAGAGATTTTAAATAGGTTTATTTATAACGCCTTATCATCTATCACTTAGTATATTACTTTCTATTCAATATTTTAATAATTATTATTGGTAGGTAGGTAATACAAGACCAATTCAAATTGAAAGTCCATCTACCGTAATATTTAGTGAAGTGAAACCGTTTATTTTAGACAATAAACTAACTGATATTGAACTTTTATTATTAATTTTTATTTAAATTTAAATAAAATAATTGATTTTGAATTTTAATAATTTAATACCTACTATTTATACTTATCTATTTATTGGATGATAAAATTGTTTTTATAAAAACACATAAATACTTGATTTGTTGTATGACAATAATTTATTGAAAAGAAAATATTTCAATACCTACTATAAAAATACAATTTTAGACCATCTTTAAAATAAAAATAGAAGTTTTTAGTTGTTTTATACTCTGAGTGGAGCGAGATGAATGTATTGATTTTACAATGATGATACATTTTATAGTAGAAAAATTGATTCGATCATCAACATACGCGCAACTTTTTTTTATAGACATTTCATCATGTACACATTTTTATGAAATTGGATATTTAAACCAAAAATAACGGTATATGTTATTTTGGTGTAATTCAAAAAATATTATTCCTAGGGACTTGAATTGAATTTTTTTCCATACCATGTAATATTATAAACCATACCCAATAATTCATCAAAATATTAGTTCAATCTACATAACCGTGTTGCTAATATAAAATATCTTTAAAAATATGAGCAGACAGGTGTCTCCGTTCACAATTGTTAATAGCATACAATGATATCATTGCATTCAAATGTAGGTAACACATGTTATATTATGTGGTGGACTACTCAATGACTCAATATCGTACAATACAACAAAGCCAGTACCCCGGTTTTTTTTTATCATTAAGTATTAATATATTATTATAATATATTTTATACTCGGTGGCATTGGAAGGTACTATGGACAAATTTATTTTGAACTGAAAGAAAGTTGAAAACAAAACCATTAAAAAGATTATAAATGCATACATTTATTAAAATTAAATAATATTAATTATTGTTTATAAAATATATTTTGCTCCTTTAAAAACTTCATAAGATAGCTATAGGCCCTTTTAAAATGTGTATTCAAATACTTTTAATTGTCTTTATTTTAATAATATCATTAAATCTTTAATGAATATTATACAATTCATGGCAAGATCAGATCAAATAGAAATAAATAATTGTTTTAAATTATAACAGCCTTATAATTAACCGATAAATCTCCCCGAAGTCTGAAATGAATGTAATTTTGTAAATTTGGAACTTTACAAAATAATTTGCAAAATTTTCTTAATTTTGATGAATTTATTCAAAATTCTGACTTCAGACTCTCATAAAAAATTATTGTGGATTCTCTCAAATTTATTTTTAAACTTCACTAACAACAACATACGTAAACTCTTGTATTACATTTTTAAGTATATTTACCAAGTGAAAAATGTTTTAACAATAATTCAAAAAAAGCTAATTAACATAAATGTTTGAGGAAATGTTCTTATGCCTATAAATAGCCTATATAATATAATTATGCCCAAAAAGAGTCAAAATATTTTAAAAACTTAAAAGTGTATAAAAAACATTCGATGAAAATTTAAATTATCTATTTACAGTTAGGTATTAGTTTTTTAGTTACACCAAAAAAACTAAATCGATTTTGTCAAAAACTGGTTTTGTAAAAATCCCAGTTTTTCCTTAATTTTTTGTTTGTTTTTCTGACACTTTTGAAAATTACTATGAAGTTTCAAATTTTACCTCTTGAAAGTACCAACTAGATTAATTTTTCCATCAGAAAAGATGCTGGAGTTAAAAATCAGATCATTATTTCTACTAGAAAACATTTTTACAGGCAGAAAAAAACCCACATGATTGTAATACATTCATTACTTCATTCAAAATCTAAAATTAAAATATACTATATATTTTATTATAATGTTACAGCTAGCATTAAAATATAAATTATTATTACTTACATACTTAGGTTTATCATTATTTTTAATAATTATCAATAAATAATAAAGTATTCACATTTCTAAACTAGATAATTAAAGCTTAGGATATAATTAAAATTAAATATAATAACGAATAATGATTATTATAGAAATACATTGACAAATTGTGTATTATACTCACTAAAACTGGCTTCTCCCATATCACCGATCATGACGTCAGACTCTGTAAACAAATGCATCATGTTTTAAAAGTATTAAAATTATATGGAGCATAACATGTTATTATATATTATTCAAATATGATACGAATCAAAATTCAGCTGACATTAAGTGATTTTATCTTTAAAAATAAAACCAGGGAAGCCATTTTGCTGTATAGTAGGTTTCGAGTCTTCGTCATTGTTTAAGTCACTGTAATGGATGTGTTTAATTTTAATTCAATGATTTATCATATTCATTACATACGAAAAACAATTTCGATCTCAGATAGTGTTTCAACCTCTATTACTATATTATTATATTTAATAATAATTTATAATTTATATTACTAGAGCATTCTTGATTATGCTACTGTAGAACATAATGCTGCTTGGATTAAAACAAGTATTTTAACCTAGTTATTAAATGAAGTATAGTAATAGACTCATAGACTAAGTTTTAGTTTTAGTTCAATTGTGTGAATCTATAATACTATAATAATATAATAATATAATTCCCTGGAGTTAAAGGACTATAATATAGTTACTATGCAGTATGCATGAATACATTTTTGTGATATCTTTGTAACTCATTTGCTCCAACTTAAGCCTTCGCTTAAAGGAGTAAACCTATCAAAATTATGTATAACATAATATGATTGTTTATTTACATTCTAATTATATAGTAAAAATTTGATATCTAATAAAGAAAAAAATACTTTAATGTATTTTATATTAATAAAGCACCATTCTTTAACCACCATGGTTAAATAATTAACTCAAAGATTTCAAATTAAAAAATAAATAAAATAAAATGGTTTATTCTGTAAAAATTATTATAACGGTTATTATAATAGTGTGTTTCGATTATTCATTTATAAGTCAATACCGACAAACCACAGATTGGTTTGAATAGGTTTATGGTATTAACAGCACATTTTTGAACATTTAATCATGTATAGAAAATAATAATTTAAGTAATATAGAGGAATGTTTCAAGCTTCTACGATTAATATTTTTTCAATAAAATCACAACAAAACAATACAAATTGTTTGAGGAGAAATCGTTACAGCCAGCGTGGGTGTGAAAATCCAATCTTTCTAAATTTCAACGTCAACTACTAATTAAAAATGAATTTGGGTTTTTTTCTATAAGAACATATTTAAGGAATATTGTATTAAACTTTCAAGTTTAAGGAATATCAATTAAATTTAAATTAGAACTTTAAGCACACATAAAAAAATAAAATATATATTTTTGATATTTTTTTCAACTCTTAGAAGAATAACTTACTAGGAATTTTAAATTACATTTTAAAGATTTTCAGCTAACAAAAAAAAATAGTATCATCATCAAAAATCGAAAATCTAAATATTTCAAATTTCAAATATTGTTATAGATAGGTAGGTAGATATAGCACAAAAAGAGCAAATACAGATTTTCCGTTATTTGTTTTAGTTTTTCTGAATTATTATGAAGGGCACTGGATATTATTTTATTTTTGATTTCTCTCCCCCTCATCACACTCCAAAAGTACAAAGTACAAGCTGTATCGAATTTGCTACCAGTAAAACACACATTGCATTGTTAAACCGAACTTAATACCTCGATCCTTAATACCTAATATAATACATTTAAAAAATCTTTAACTGTGAATTTTTTTTTATAACCAGCCAAACATTAAAATCGCCTTTCGTTTTACTCTAACTTCATTCGATAAAAATAGTTATCTTGTGTGTAATTAATAATATCATCTGTTTTTGGTTTTCTAATAAGAATTTTTTTGAATTTGAATTTGTTTACAGCAATAGGTATGATATATTGTTATAATATAAATGTTTATAAACATCTTTCATTTCACTTATATTTATGTGTATATATACCTAAACTATAAGAATGAGAAAAAAGATATTCATCATGCCCTGCAAAAGCTTGGAAAGGTCATTTCAACTTCGTAAATTTTTAATAATATAAAGGAAAACAATTTTTATACAAGTATACAACCATCAGTGGTTAGGTTAGGAAGCCATTATATTTACGGCCATAGTATCATAAAACAGTTTTATTTTTAAATTAATTTTGGTTTATGAACATGGTAATTTCTATTATTTTCCAACAATTAAAATAGTTTAAATACTAGACTTATTGTTCTCTGTGACTTTGTAATATTTCTATTCACGCAGTAAGTTTACGGTGGAGATAAGTCAATATAATTTCCAAATCAAAAAAAAATCTTCTATGAAAATAATGAATTCTATTTTTATCCAATTTGTAAGTAGCATTAAGTAGGCACTTAATGTTTGTATTTGTATTATTAATTTATAATGAGTTTTATATTTTGTTTACAAAATGTTCAAAATAGAAATATGATATATTAATGGATTACACGGTTAGGTATTTATTCTAAATCTGAGTACACCAACAAGTGATATTTCCTTAAATGTTTATATGTATTATGCAATATGCATATATAAAATAAATTGTGTAAGTGTTGCGAAAATATTGAATATCTGATTTGGGGTTCATCACTTTAAAAAGGATGAGAGTCGATATAATTATAAATAAGTCACTCTTAGTAACTGTGGTATAATTTTGAAATCTTAGTAGTTACCATCACTCGCGTTACTAAACTAACTGTTTTAATATTTAATATAGATTATTCAAAACAAATATTAGAAATTAAACCATCAATTAGTACAATAAAACGTTTTATAACTCTATATATATAATACAAACATATTGAATTTTTTGATTATTGTTCTATTAAATGTTGAGTTGATTCCTAGACAGTAAATAACATAATGCATTTTATTTTACTATATACGAAGCATATTGTGAATGTTTTTAAAATTATTTCTATGGTCTAATAATTATACTTATAAGTTTAACACTTACATATAATATTTTAAGTTAAGTGTTTAGGATTTGGTTTTATTAAATTTCTATATTCTCACAATAAAATTACCTAATTTATTTAATTTTTTTATAATTTATATCATATTTGCTTACTTTTACACATAATTTCTAGTAAAAATTTTAATTAATTTTTTAAATTGTTATTCTAAAACCAATTAAGACATTTATTTTTGTCTTAGTAGGTACATTCAACGAACATGTGCATTCGTTTATTTTTAAACATTTAGTGCCTCATTATAAAAATCATTGTCTGTCTCCTTATCACCTTATTTATAGTATGTTTTAATTTCTTTAACTATCTCACTACGTATCTACTATCTATTCTTATTAAAAACTTTAAATATTGATCAGTACCTAGGTAAATATTTACATTTCTACCAAATCAATAACGGATTTCACAATAATTGCAGTTTATTATGAATCTCCAGATTTTGTTTAAGTATTATTACCTTCAGTTAACTAGAAAAGATATTTGAGATTTAAATTATTAATTTTCCAAAAATCAAAATACCATACTTCTTTAGTACCTATACATTTTAATTTTTAATCATTTTATAATAAATTATTAGATACAATTAATATTTCTCAACTCTCAAGCCATACCTACGTATGGGATTTTTAAAGGAATATAATTATATTTCAACTATAATATACTTATTAAATTAAGCTGCTACCTACAAATACCTACCATACGTGGTACCATATAATATTTCTATTAAAAAATAGAATATATTGTATACACCAGAGTAGATGAATTCAATATCTATATTCTATAATACGTAGAAATGAATATTTACAATTTTGACAACCCATTCATTATATACTCATCAATCACAATAAAAAAAAGATAAAAGAAAATACCTTTCAGAAAAATATATTGAGATTTATTTTTCTTGACAATCATTGTGTTATTCTATCACAGTTCTAAATACAATTTCCAAGACTAGACTGACGTGGCATTCACTTATATTTTTATTTTAAGTCTATTTTATCTTTTGTCAATTTGACTGACGAACCAATAGCATAAGTATGGCTAAAGATGTGAACACAAACATCTGGACAATTCACAAATAAACTGTAAATGACAAACGACATTCATAAAATTAGCAACAAATGACCATTAAAAAAAATGTATATATAAAATAAATACTATTTAAGTTATTAAAATATATTATAAAAAAAATTAATATAATAATAATTAATGAAATACAAATTATTATAGGTACCTAATCAAATACCTGTTTTATTTTATTTATACAGAATATAAATAATAATGGACTTTTTATTCTTAATAATTTAAATTATTTTTGAGTAGAAGCATATACATTTCCTCTCGCCATACATAATACCATGTATCAATAACTGCACAGTCATTAAGTAGAAATTAGTTTCAAGTATTTCGACTGAATTAAAGGCCTTCTATTCTGGTACACTACTCAATTTCATTAGACATTATGAAGTTCCGCTTCAAATTCACTGATGCAAGCTTTGGCAACCTCAATTAAAGCATTGGTTCAGTAATATAAACAAATAGACTAGACTTTTGAGGTCAAACAGGATGGTTCGTTATAGATATGTTTATGTACAATATAAGCGTAGGTACCTACTATCTTTCTAACTTAACGTAACGTTGCAGTAGGTAAAATTATTAAAATTATGAAACTGTGGAACAATTTTGCTAACTCAAATTTGCTAAAAATGTATAAGTATTCTAATTTAAAAGATCGTCTAAAATTGTATTTTTAAATCCATACCACCCTATTGAAGTCAAAGATTGGAGCATTTTAAATGATCCAAAAGGTGATGAGATACACAAAAGTTAAATTTAGAAAAAACAAGCACATCAATGTAAACCCAGTATCAGTTGTATAATTATAAGTTCCCCTAAGAACCTAAAAAATATTCTATATGAACGTATACATTATAATATGTATGGCCCAGGGACTAAAATTATGTGTATTACGACACACTTTGTGTAGTACCAAATACTAAGTGTGGAATACGAAATTAAAAAGTGTGTAATGGCCTGTAATAATTACTATAGGTACTAGCTTTTTTTTACACTTTTTCTTCGTTAATTGAAAAATTATTTGATGTTTCGTTGGGAAATAGATAGATAAGAATTTTAAATATTAATAATAATTATTACGTTATTATTAGGAGTCGATTTACAAGTTTTACTTATAGATACCTATTTAAAATATTAAAAAATAAAAATATTTCGAAAATCGATACAATTACAATATTATACAATAAAAAAAACATAAGTTACTGAATGTTTTACCTATATTTTTTAAAAGAACCATAAACAGATTACTATGTTGTTTCAAATCAAAAACAAAATAATGTTATTGTTAATGTTTGACACTGTTTATTATACAATCATTTTTTATGATAGCTATTCCTAAACCTTGTGGTTGTTGCTATAATTAAATATTAACAATGTGGTAATTACATTAATTAGCTTTTAAAAAACATTTAATCAATCAATTTCATGTGATTAGTGAGTACCTACCTATATTGAAGTCTAGGATGTTTTTTTCCTAGAATCTGGGATTTTTATTTCGCAATTCACTGTCTATAATAGGTATTGTATAGTATTATTATAGTTCTGTACATTTATTGCAATATTATGTATAATACCGAATTAATTATCGTACCAATATATGGACATAAATCGTTAACTTGCGATGTAGTCTATACTCTGTAGATGAAGAAAAATAGAAATTGATTACTCTATGTTTATGTGTATAGATTCAATACACTTTTTTTGGTGGGGTGGCAAAGCCCCTCGCGGTAACTAAAATATTAATATAAAATGTGTAGTACGAAAAAAATTATATTTTAGCCTCTGGTATGGCCACGTGGAGAGAGTTCAAAAGGGATGCACAAGAATACCGAAGTCACAAACATTTTAGAGGCACCAAATTAAAAGAGGTAGTTTATTAGTTGCTGTTCATTTGTTTTATACTTATCTTAAATATTTTATGACAAAATAGTTGGATAAAATTAACTATAATAAACACGTTAGGTATGTTCGTTGTTGATCACGGCGAATTGAAATATGCAAATCAATAAAATTAAGAATAGATATGATAGTATTATCTATTGAGTCCAATCAAACGAAATAGATTCCTATTCGAATGATATTAAATAAGAGGCAAAATCAACAAAATATAATCATATTTATTTCTATTAACATTTTTGGACGCCCATTATAGAGAAATGTTCGACAACGCTTCAAAAAATCAATAATTCTAATAAATATTGGGTTGTTAGGTGTGACGCCTCTCTAAAGGCATGTCGTTATAATAATACATTCAAAATCAACAAAAAAAAATTTGAAATATTTTTTAATGAAGCACACATAATGATCGGCGTAAATACATTATCGAATAACTAATATAATTAAACTTAGAAATGTTTTTTTTCTGATGAAGAACCTGGTGATGAAATTATATTTTCTCATGAAGACAAAATTAAGAACGAAACTTTTATTCTTAAAATGCGTCCATTGCTAAGCTAAATAAAACCAAATTTATACGTCATACAGTGTTATGTGATAATTTAAATTTTTCAGGCATAAAATGATTAAATCAATTAACCCACATAAAAAAGTATTGATGGTTTGAAGCTGGGAGCTTGTGAATATTTTAACAGAGGATTTTAAAGTAGAATTTAGTGGGGAAATTCTTCAGTTTAAAAAGTATTTCTTTAGTAAAACACAAAGTACGAAAGTCCTCAATAATACACCCCAAATAAAATATTTTTTGAAAAAATCGTTATTTTTCGTTTATATATCTAAAAATTTGTCAAATTTTAATTTGAAAGGTCAGAAATAAAATCTTGCATTTGTATTCAAAGTTAATCTTACAAACTAAAAATAAATTTTGAAAACTGGAACTTAACAATTAATATAATTAGAACAGAAAAAAATCTAATATATTATGAAATTTATTTCATAACTAGAAATTGCTAATATACATATTTGATGAAAATTGAAGTTTCTACAAACATTCATTTTGATTACAGAAAAAAAATAAAATTGATTTAATAGAAATCTGGCTTTACGTAAGAATATCTGTTTTTCCATATTATTTTCCCCGATTATTTTTAAAAGTATTGGTAATTTTTACGTTTGATATCCCTGAGTACCGACTAGATCCAATTTGATACCAGAAACCACTGTCGAAGTTGAAGATTGAGGCATTTTTTCTTCTCTGGACGTGTACACAAACACAAAAAAATACTCATCGTTGTAAAAACAATACATTCATCGCTCCACTCTGAGTATAAAATATAATCAATGACCATGTTATTGCAAATAAAATTAACCATTGTTTTTAGTAGGTCACTTGGGTTAGATTTGTTTAATTTACGTTTTAGTTTTTAATTTTAAAGTGAAGTATCATCGTGTTCGAAAAACCATTCTGAGTAAGGTTCATTATAAATAAAGAAACCGCATTTTGGGTCAAAATATGCATAAGTTTGTAAAAAAAAAAAGGGTTAATGTTTTTTTAATTGTATATAGAGATAGTTATAATATTTCTTAAATAATCTCTAATGAAAATGTCATGTATTAGTTTCAAATTTCTGTTAATAAAAATTTAGTTTAAATTACACTTTTATAGCGTAAACCTCTATATTTTCAAAAACGTTTTTATATTTTTATTTCTTTTAATGCTATTTATTTAATTTCAATTTAGCTTGTCCAAGTGTTCAATTGCAAGTGTATAGTTTCTTGCTGATTAATACAAGTTGTATTCTTATAGTTGTACACACTAAATTATAAGTAAATGTTTTTTACCTTATAAAGTGTTTCCAAGGTATAAGTAATATGAGTAATCATCAAACCAAAAAGCATGAATTATATAAAATGTAGTTTTAAATTTTTTAACACAACTAATGAAAATACAATAATTGTTTATTTACGAACCTATTTAGTGTTTCTTTTAATGTCATACTCCATAACTGTATTTACATTATACATATAATTCAATATTTATAATTTTTTCAAACAATTTAATAGGGAGCCCCAGTTTAAGAAATAAAAATAGTCTTATATTATGTATTAACCTTGTTAATCTCGATAACCTCGAGTGTGTTTGATCTTGGTTGATTATTTGTTTTTCTTATTAATTAAACAGTAAACAAACTTGTAACAAAATAATTGCAACTTTATTAGATAGCACAGAATCATAACAAGAAAAGTATTTATTTCTATATTATTAAATTTTAAGAAGATAAATAGATTAGTAATGGTACAATTAAAAAGTATTAACGTTTTTAGTTAAATTGGAATTGAAGATTATCATTTTTTTTAAATATTTTTTTTTTTTTAGATTCCGAATAAAGCTAACTAAATGTTATTTTAACAATGTTCTGTATAATTGTACCTTCAGTAAACATTTCTTGGGTCAGTAAGATCTCATAAAAATTCTAACTGCACTTTTATAGATTGAAAATTAAATACATATTGTACTTTAATGAAATCATTTTTTGAATTGCATGGTAGTGTTTTTGATGGCATTGGAAATCAACAAACAATAGCTGAATAAACGGAAGCAAGCATCCGTCTTTAATAGAGTTTTGAGCATTTTTGTTAAAAGTTGTAAGCAATCATTCAAAATCGTTTTTCAAATTCAATTACCTAGTTATTATGTCTGTTAAATTTAAAGACACCCGTCGCACTTAACAGCAGGAGTTGGAGTTGTAGTCCTACATCTCAGTTTGTGACATTATAGTGTTTGATGTTTTTTTTTTTTTTTTTATCAATATGGAATACTTTGGATATTCAAACAGAAGCCAAATGTATTAAAACTTTTAGGCCTATTTTTTCTACAATTTTAATTTCTTAACATGTTCATATATTTGTTATTATAATGAAAATGTTATTTTTAATTAATTCTTTGAGAAAAAAAGCTGAAATAATATTTATAAATATTGATACCTATATTTTTAAATAATCCCAATAAACCCATTGTTTAGATAAAAAACAAAATACATTTAGAAAACAGTATTCTTCAATGACTTTTTTCGTCAACGACATGACCCATGTATATTAATATTTTTTTTATATTATTTGGGAATTGTCTTTAGTTTGTTGTTGTTATTAGTTTTTACATTGTTACATTTTTCATTAATAAAAACATAATGTAAATAAGTAGGTATAACCTTTGAATTATTAATTTATAATTTTAAAATATCAATAACGTTGTTAAATATATTTTTAATTATTCAGGAAAATGTTGGACTGTTTTTCAAACTAAGTAGAACATATTAAATTCCAAATTTCAAATTATTATTAGTTGGTATTAACATTTGTGTACCGACATCCTACAGTCTATATAAATGATACAAAAATTATAAATATTATCCAGATCATTGAGAGCTATAGGTATAGTTTTAAATTTAAGTTAATATTCTTTATTTTATTAATGCGTAGGGGCACTACCTAACTTTAATTATATTACAAAATAATCATATAAATAATTAAACTATAATTATTTATGTTTGGTTTGGATTCTAAAATAATCATTTATATCATACATATAATAATTTACTAATTTAAAATATTGATTGTTTTACTGCTCACCAAAAACTGTGAGATTGACCAGGAACTTAATTTTTGGCTCAGTGTTTACTTGGCATTCATAAGAACCCATGTCTTTAGGAGATACATCTTTGATCTGCAAATTCCAAATAGCTGAATCTCTAAGAGGATGTTGAATCCCAAACCGGCCATCGTTAGTAAACAAATGTGGTCCAGAAGTAAGTATATGTAAGTCACGCATTCTAATCCATGACAAAACCTAAAATGTTAAAAAAAAAATTAGATGAATTAATACAGTTGTTTTAATTTTCTTATATAATTATAACACATCAATTCAATTTTAAATATTTCAACGGTTTAACCCCGGATTTGCAGCGTACATTTTTTTTAAATGTAACATTATAACTGCTAACAATTCTTCTAAGTTTTTTAAATACTCACTTTTTATTCAAAATTAAAATTGCGTACTCACATAGGTAAAGTATATTAAAGGCTAACTATAAATAGAATAAAACTTCCAGCCTTACTACTAAGCAAAATACCATCCCCCAATCCACAAGAACTATACGAAACCATTTTTCATATTTGAAAATGTAGGTTTACTAATATTATATTATAATATTATTTGAATCATTCAATTAATCATCATTGTAGGTACACAATGTAAAAGCATTCATACAACTTCCATACAATAAATTGTACCTATTTTATTTTGATTTGGTCGTTAAGAAATAGGTACTTTTTTATTATTGTGTAATTGTATTTAAATAAAAATTATACTTATTTTTCTTACATAGATACAATTTCTATAAATGCATGCACTAATAATTTCGTAGCATAATTTTAACTATAGTGAGTAGAATAACTTGTATCCTTAGTATAATTTACTTTTACTAGGTATCTGAAAACAATAAGACAATAACTATATATTTCAAATAAATAAAAAACAGTTCCTAAAAAAAATGTGGGTTCAATAAAAAAGTAATTGTGTAAGTGATTAATATTCTTATGCAATATTCAACTGCTAAGATAATAAAATACTAGGTATTGCATACCTATATAAAATATCTCATTGCTTAAGAATTTATCAACCATACAACACAAGTATCATAAATTTCAAAGTGCTGTCATCGCATAGGGATCAAGTTTTTTATAAAAATAAATCAAGCCACGGTTTGAATTGGTACACGAAAATCGGATATGAAAAACGAATTTTATGTTTCTCAAATTACTTTAAAAGTTTCAAGTAGAAATATCCAATCACAAAGCTATTCAAAAATTTAATTTAAATCACATCTCGTGCCACCATTCCATATACATTTGGTCGGCCTCCTAATATAGAAATGTTTTCGTTTTGTATTTCAGTAAGGATCCATTCATTTTCACATAAAACTCCGATAAATCTTACTGAGCATAAAGTGTTACGGGTAAATGTTTGTTTGGTTGAAATAAAGGAGACAGATTAGCCACGACAGGGTAAAGGCCGTACCAAATAATTCACACATTATGTTACACGATGTGTAAAAATATTGCCTAATATAAACCACCTCTTTCTTGTTTTGGACGAATGCCTGCAAAATGAAATCTACAACAGCATATTCAATATTCAAAGAAAGCGTACAAAACAATATTATTCTGTCGAGAAGCTGATCAAAATATTTACATAAATAAAATAAAATACCACATTCACATAATGTATCTTATAGTAAACTTGGTTTAAGTAAAGATCTTAAAAATGTAAGTCTTAGAACTATCTGCTATTATATGCAAATTTCAAAGTGCATATACAACAGTCAATAATATAAAAAATGAATAAGTATTTGAAGAAAAATAATACAAGTTATACAATTAAATATTGATAACTACTTTCATAGAATAAGAATTTGTTAAAAAAAATTTACATTTCAGGAATTTTTTTATACGGCTGACAGTGTATTCGAACTTCAATTCTAAAGTTCTTTATATAATTTTAAACCATTAACATCAAATGTAGTTAAGACATTAAGCATTAAGAACGATTGAAATAAAACATTTTTATTACCTAATAACAACGTTGTTATTTCATTTGTGACGTGTCTATAGTAAAGCGTGTATTCTGTATAACACACCTAAACTTACAAACTTAATGTATGTTAAATGTTGATTAATGATAATTAATTATATAGATAAGAGAATAACCCCACGTGGCTGCTCCTGTTAGTAATCCCTGTCGAAAGTGAACAAAAGTATTGATAAATATTATTCTCCTTGAGTCTAGTACAGTAAATTAGACAAACCAAATTTCAATATAGGTACTACATGTCACATGTGTAATTGTTTTATGGTGTTATTGTTTAACTTTTTTTGATAATTATACCTTATTTTTGAACATGACCAATGCCAAAAATTGTAAGAACTAATAATGAAAACATGCAAATAATATTAATAATAATATTATTATTATCTATCTTTACAATAATGTTGAAACAATCTTGAGTTATCATTATAAGTAAACACAAATGCTTACTATCTCTGTTAAAGTAAAGTTAGCGAATTTATTATAAAATGTACAGTTCATAATTGGTATAATTGATATATATTTAATTTCAATAAATTTAACAAGGTTGTATAAAAAATTAACTATAGGTATAAAGAACGTCAAACATTCTATTAAATATCAAACAATAATTTTATCGTGAATCATGATGTATGGTAGTATTCATTAACAATATATTTCACTTATAGAGGTAAAATATCTTTATACACGTTTAATTCAATTATTATTTATTTCTAATTTTTAAATTCATCTTATACAGAGTTATAACCTAGGTAGAACCTAATACTATTAGTACCTACAACACATTAAACCATTGAATAATATTAAAAATATAATAATTTATAAAACGCTGCAGTTTGATGTGATTATAATATTATTGTGTTTACCGCGGATTTCATAATATTATATAGTTACGTCGACCCTGGTGTAGTTATAATGTACAGTTTACAACTCACACGAATGATTTTTTCAACTAAATAATTATAAACACGACGACAACGCTACATAGGTACAATTTATTGTCATGAGCAGTAATTTAATTTTGATTGTTTATTTGGTATTTATTACACTTTACATAATATTATTATTATTATAAGTGTAAGAAGCGACTTGGGCGGTGCCTTAAAATATTAATCTACCCGTCTCATAACATAACGGTCATCATAACCTAGAATGTTATGAGAGAGCTGCTTTGTCGCCGTGCAATCCTGTTGGGACGCGATTACTTGTACATAAACATTATTTCGTCTATAAAGTTAATTGCAAGTGCGACGACGTGATCGTGCATTTGAAATAAGCAGTCGTTATTCTGATATATCAAAACTATGCCGCTCGTATTCCACCTAAATACATAATACGACGTGAATTAATTAAAACCGCATCGAATTAAAATACGCGGAGAGTCGTAACGGCGATATCGCTAATAATTTTATAAAACTATGCGGAATAATATAATATACGATTAAAATTTCGGTTTCCGCCGACGATAGTATATTACTTATTAAAACTATTATGGCGGCAAAATTTATAATAACTGACTTTTCTCCGCGGTATAGTGTAAGCACGCGCGTTATATTTTTATACAATATGTAAGCATTGTTTATTTAAATATATAGTCACGTTGGTCGTGTGTTACTTGTAAAGTAGACTTGAATCCAAACATCTTATACGTACTTGACTTTATATAATATATACCGAATGACAGCGATAATAATTATTATTATTCCGTCGTGTTTGTACGGCTACATAAGTTATTATATTGTTATTAACCCGAAATATTCGTAATTTAATATTATTACGTTGGTACACGCCGTCTTAAGGTGATATATTATAATTATGAAAAAATTACATAATATTTAATTTTACATTTTTATTTGCACATGTTCACTTGAGTTGTACTACATATTATAACGATGTTCTGCCAATGTTCCAATGTTAGAACAAATATTAATCTTGGAATTAAAACTTTTGGCATTCCTTATTGAGTTAAGTACCAAGGACCACACAACCTCTCTCACTCTCTCTTTCTCTCTCTCTCTGGGAATTACCTTTTGTTTCGTGCAAACTCCAACTCGGTACCAAACAAGTACTTAAACAAAGCATTTCGATCGATCGTCAGATCCTATTGTGTGCGATATTCTATTCTACTTAACATTGGCGTAACTAAATATTAATGTTGTCGAGCGAAACTGCGCAGTCTAGAAATACGAATGAATCGATATTTTTACGTTATTTTTATGCACACGAATCATACGATTATATTATACAATGTTACAGCATCGAACGAGCGACCGTATAGATACATTTTATACTGTAGGTATTTATAATAGGTATTACAATATAACACGTATCGTATATTGTATAATAATATGTTTTTTACGAGGCAGTATTTAATTTATGCACACTGTGCTACGTGGTCTATTAGTATTTATAGTCCACCCGAAAGCCCGCGTCGTATTAAATTATTATTTCACGAGGAAAAAAATAAGGAACAAAACAATACGGGTACGAAATACCGTAGGTATAGTGTCTATAATATTACATTAAACGGACGTTTCGATAACATAACAATTTTTTTTATCGTATAGTAAGTCAGTCACTAGCGTGTATTATTATAATAATGATATTATAATATAGTGCTGCGTCATATAGTACAAAATACAATAATAATAATACTACGGGATGGCTTAACGTGCGAGTGTAATAGTAATAATAACAAAGATATAATAGTAATAACAATATTATATTATAATACTATTATGTGCCGAGAGCCATGTGTTCGCCCCGCGGCAACGATAGCGGCGGCAACCCAACTCGCTCTGTGCCTCCGTTCGATTTATGCGTCTCCGGCGAGGGTAGTCGTGTCCACATGCCATGCCGTCGAGTGTCATAAACGCAGTTTAATTTATTAACGAATTTACGTCTACGCGGCCACGGCTGCTGTCGATGCCGAAATACAGTCCTCTAGGTCGGAAGAACAGCGTATAATAATGGGTCCATGTCGTCATCATCGTCGCGGTAGTCGTAGTCGTAGTCGTCGACGTCGTTACCGATTTTAATGGCCGTGGAAGGGTGGAGGCGGGTGCGACAACGGTCCGCAATAAATATGGCGAGCACGATGATTTACAAGTATATCGTACACGCTTGGTAGGTGTGTACATAACATGGTTCAGGTATGTGATATGGGTATTATAATAATAGCAGGTTATATAATCGCACCGACA